CTAGTTCGGCTTCTTTATCGTCTTTCTATTATGTTTACATACCTTTCACTCCTTGGTCTAATAAGCCAAGCTTTTTACATAGCCACTTATTGATAATATACTTTAAAAAATATTTTGCTTCATCTTATATTTGGCTTCATCTTGTATTAATTTTGCCAGTGTTTGTATTACTTTTTTTTTCCTCTCATTTTGGGTGATAGTTCTTTTCTGTTCTGATTTGTTTGACTTTGAACATTAATCATATTAGGATCTTCTTGGACTTGACAAATCTGTACAATATATTCTACTTGACATTTTATTAATGGTACTTTTAAATAATATCTATCCATAGATAAGATACATCCCCTCATTTTTCATTAGCCTCATATTTTAAAAAGGGGTTTTTTTGTGGTGGGGAGGTCAAATTAATCGTTGTATGATTTCACTTATGTTAATCATTCTTGGCAATTTTTCAGTAACCTTTATGCTAAATGTCATAATTATTCCCAGTCAGTTCAGCACTACTTCTGTCTCCTTCAAACTATAATTACCATACAGGTACTATGCACCCAGGAAACTGCAGACCAATCAGCTTGCCGTAAATATCTAGGAAAATCCTAGAAAAGATCATCAAGCAGTAAGTTTGCAAGCACTTTCAAACTATAATTACCATACAGGTACTATGCACCCAGGAAACTGCAGACCAACCAGCTTGCCGTAAATATCTAGGAAAATCCTAGAAAAGATCATCAAGCAGTAAGTTTGCAAGCACTTAGAAACAAAGTGATTACTAGAAGACAGCAAAGGTTTGTTAAAAATAGATTGTGCCAGGCAAATCTCAGTATTTTTTTGATAAGTAACTACATTAGTAGGCCAAGAGAAAACTGTGGATGTAGTGTACCTAAACTTCAATAAGGCATTTCGTAAAGTGGACCATAGCCTCCTCCTTGATAAAATGGAACAAAATGGGAGGAATGGTCCTATTACCAAATGGATTCACAGTTGATTGAACAATTGTACCCAATGTGTGGTCTTTCATGGATCTTCATGGAGAGGTACCCAGTGGGGTACCTCAGGATTTTGTCCTGGGCTTGATGATCTTCAAAATTTATATAAATGACTTAGACAAGAGGATAGGAAGAATGTTATTCAAATTTGCAGATGACCCAGAGCAGGTGGGAGGGTGGAATTACTAACCCCTCAGAAGACAGTCTCAAGGTTCAAAAGGATCTTGATTATAGACAGCCACCAAGATGACTTTGGAGAGACTGCGCAGAGACAGTTACAAAAACATGTACAAAAACCTGCTTTGAGCCTGAGAAACAAAGAAAACAATAGGAAGAAACTTAGAAAGGTTCTATCCTAACTGTGGGTTCTAAGAGGGAGGGAAAGGAACATGCAGTCAGGCTTTCAAGATTCTGTTACTATAGCCTATATCAGTAAAACATAGTTCCAGTCAAACTTGAGGAGTCGGTTTCCTGGTCTGACCTACCTTGAAGGGCTGACATTATTAGACTTGAACATTGGGCCCTAGCCAACAAATGCTGTTCAGTGGTGAGAAATATAAGGTACTGCACTTAGATAAAAAACAAAAAACAAAGAACCAATGCAATCTTGGGCTACAGCAACAGAGGTATTATGTCAAGATCACGAGAAGTAATAGTTCTGCTCTATGCTGCACAGGTCAAACCACTCCTGAAATACTGTGTCCAGTTTTGGTCATCACAATGCAAGAAGTATGGTGGAATTGGAAGGAGTGCATAAATGGTCAAAAGGGTGAAGAGCCTGGAAGCTAAATCCTGTGAAGAACAGCTAAAGGAACTAAGTATATTTAGCCTAAATAAGAGAAGGCCAAAAAAAAAAAAGAAAGAGTAGCAGTCTTTCAATACTTGAAGTGCTATCACAAGAAAGAGTGTGGATTTATTCTCCATAGTACCTGAGGATAGGACAAGATTCATTGGATGGAAGCTTTATGAAGAAAGATTCAAACTTGAAATAGAGGAATGTCCTGATTGTGAGAGCTATTATGCAGTGAAACAGCCTGAATCCTGGAGTCATGGGTGCTCCATCACTGGAGGTTTTCAAGCAAAGGTTGGATAATTGCCTTTTATCAGGGTTAGTCTGAGAATTCCTGTTCTGGGCAGGGGGTTGGACTAGAATACCTTCCAGGTCCCTTCTGATCCTATGATTCTGTCTTCTCTCTGGCACTTCTGATAATCTGTTTTAAGATTCAGTCATTAAGGTAACTGAATTTTTTGTAGTCATTAAGCTCCAAACATGTATTTATCTACTTTGTGTGAGGTACTTATGTAAGCTTCTCTTTAAATGCCTCTTCAGTTACTTTAGTCATCTCAATATCATCCTTAAAATTTTGTTGGGGAGATTCCAAAGTGTGGCCTGATATTATTAACTATGGCAATTCTGTGGAAAAGTCTTAACTTTCTAATTTATTGGTTTTTACTGTCCCTCT